AACTGGGTGTGGAGGAAGACTGAGACACGCCCGGCATACGGGATGGTAATGAGGCTGACAGGGAACCGATTCCATGAACTTTGTCTAACGAAAGAGTACTTCCACCGCCGTCTGCTGAACCTGGAGTACTGGGGCTAGTGGCCAGAATCAGGCTGCGTAAAGCTTCCTCATCCATAGAATCTGCTCCACCATAACTGACACGTCGTGTTCGACCTTCGAAAAGCCCGGATGTGGTAGAGGCACTTAGAATCAATGAAGGGTCAATGTCCGGATCAGGTTCAATGGAAGCCTGAGTGGTTGGACTCAATTGCGATTTCGCCGGTTTGGCACTTTTCGACGATGACGATGATACCACTTTGGCGGACTGAACAGTGCCCGCTTTACTCGTTGGTGGTGGTTTGGTTCCTCCCAACTGGGATTTTACACTATCCTGTTTGGCTTGTCCCGGTTCCGTTTTCTGTTTACCGCTCGCTGATTTGTCTTTCGGAGCGGCAGTAGCCAGTTTAGTTTTGGCGCTCTCAACTTTTGTCTTGGATTGGGCCTTTCCCGAATCCTGTTTGGGTTTGGGTGTAACTGGTTTCATTTTCGTGGTCGCATCTGGCTTTGATTTGATTGCAGCTTCACTAGTTGATTTTGTTTTAGCCTTCCAAATCAGACGCGCGGGAAATTCAAATGTATGCGGATCAAAATGAGCAAATTGAAAAGAAGTGTTCAACTGTAAAAATATGATGGTGCTGATGCTGAATTGTATGCAGAATGGTTGAAATCAAGTGTGCATGGCAATGAATTTGACAATGAACATACACCTATTTGAGATGAGTTAAAACAAGTGATGAAAAGTTGATTTTTTCCAAACCATGCTATTACCCACGTGAGTAAAACGGGACACAGATCAATCGGATCATCCATCATAACAATCACCAACATTCTTGTCCAGTTCATGCAATGAACGTGTTTGAACCACGTCTCCCAGATCGCATCGGGAGTTTGTTAGGACAAATCAAACAGTGTGAATGACCTTGAGAATAAAGTGAGTACAATGACGATGAGAATCAGAATCAAGGCATCATACATTTGCACCAAACTAGTCAAACACAAGTGAACATGTATTATCGGTCGGCCGTAGATTTTTACCGATTTCCTGGTCTCCTAGATCAGATGAGATCACCTTTCATCTGTCTACTGTGCTCTTCGACCGGTAGTCTTAGTTTTGTGTTTCTTCCGTCTGTGATTGATCCATCCTCTGCTCCAGCTATTCATACTCGACAAACTGTGTGGCAATCAGATCAAGCTTTCTGATGACAATGAAATGTGTCACGAATCGAGATTGATTCGCACAGTGTCACACTGGATAGGATCGATCATATATCATTTCTCAATAAAGGTCGGAAAGAAATGCCCTGTCACGATGAGTACGAAGTATTACCACAAGCTGTCGAGAAAGAAGAGTGAAAGAGTGAGGGAAAACAGCTTTCAAGGGACAGTCGGTGAGGCCAAAGTTCAAAGCCCGAATGGGGCACTGGATATGAGTGAGCTCTAATGAGCGAGAAACTCGAGTCTGGTGCTTCCGGGTGTATATGTGGTTGCCTGGATGAAATGAGCATGAAATCTGACGGATGGTCAGTTCAAATCAATATCAATTATCTCGCACCACTACTCACAAGTAACTGTGAGTTAAATGTGAATTAATAAGGAGTCAGTTTCACGAAGAGACTAGAAAATTGGATAAGCTGTGTGCGTTACCCCTCCTGTTTTCGTTAACTTTATCACGATCATTCATCTCTTCTCCTCTTTGTCTCGGTCTATTACAGAACTCTGTCCGCAAAAAAAGAAACAATTCCGTTTATTACATGGGAGTAGAACGACAAGAACACCGATGAGGTCTACAACAACAACAAGAACAATAGACAAGAAAGGGATCTAAATGGACAACTGTGCCCAACAGTGTTGGACAGCGTTTCTCAAACGGTTAGAACTCAACAACTTAGTGTAGATTAGACAATGTCAGACGTATGAACGTCATTCAGCGAAAGCGTGAACGCCCGCGTGCGAGAGAGGTAGAAACCAATATTCTTTTTTTAACAATGGGTCGAGCAGTGAGAATATACGTACTCCTCATCAACCCAACCCACCCCACTATACAGACAAACGAGTGGACACAGGAACGAATCGCCGGGTTCCCGTCAGTTTCACCAGCGCAGATAAAAGGATCCATTAGAAGTAGAGACTAATTAGTCACACCCAGATTGTGTGTAATGATAAACGGGACTCGTGTTAGACCGTGTGCAAGTGCTAGACGCGTTGTTGTTGTTGTTGTTTTCTCGTCCGCTCGCCCGAATAAGCAAGGGGAACAAACGTATACGGTTGTTCCAAGATCAAGCAAGAAATGGCAACATTGCGACGACGTACGTCCATCTTCGCATAAAAGACCAAATGTAATAGGGTTATGAGTGTGCGTGTGTGTGTGCCTTAAGGGGCTCGGAGGGGAGGTGTCGAGGGCGATCACGTGAGCGTGTGAATGGACCAGTTCGGTGTGAATGAGAGCGAGAGATGGAAGTACAAATTAGAATTAATTGGTTCAAGTTAGCACACACACACAGATAGACACGCGGTGGATACCCAACCGGGTCGTTGATCTGGTAATACTGCGCTGCTACATATTAGCGTGGGGAATGTAAATCTATCAAGGGAATAACTTACACCACTACCGATCTAAAACTGGAGGTCCGAAAGTCTACATCACCCAACCGGTCCGGTAAGATGAATCTTGGATAGAGAGTACAAACAGGAGTCATGGAAAAACCACGAGTTTGTACTGGCATGTTTATAATTGTTGACCAATCAGAATTATGAGTTCTACTGGGTGAGAAATATATTGTGCTCATCACAGTTGCCCTCCCATACTATACTACAATATTCAGGGTGAGACCTAAACACTATGAAAACGAATTATCCCCATACTATTCGTCAATACTTGGAAGATAACAGTGCTCGAGAAAAAGAGAAACACTTCTCTTTCAGTAACAAATCGAGTTTCGATCGATTTAATCATAGCGCTCTCTCTCTTTGATGCTATTCACCTTTACAAAACACCTATACAGACCAGCTCCGTATATTGAATGTGTTCATTGGGATAAATTGATTTGTTGTTGCAACACCGGTCCGATGCAGACTGTTGTGTGCTGGCCCAACCACCGTTCTCCTTGGCCAGTTCCACTGTTGGCAATGAGTTTCAGTTTCAGTTTTTTCAACAATTAACCTTGCACTATCGTGCGCCGGTTTTAGTTGCTGTCTTTTGGTCGCCCATTTGGAGGGAAGAGCAGAACGAAGATTGGAATGTTGAAAGCAAATTCAATCGGAAGATAGAGAATTCACGCTTGAAGAGTGGAGTGACAGAGAGTGAGCAACAAACGATTTTTCCCATCAAACCAGATGTTCGAATCCACCACACCTCGATTCGGATATAGTGATCTATCAATGAAAAATCTACTGAGAGAGAAAAATATTAACTACTGAGAAGAATGACACTGAATGGCGTTGGCCCGGTGGTAATGTCACCAAATTATCACCACGGAGGACGTGGGTTCGAATTCCACCACCACCACCACCACCGCCGACTGACTTTCCCCATTTGTGTGTTGTATGACAGTTCTTTGATTGGTCGCTTCGCTCTTCCTGAAAATCGTATCTTTGTATATTCAAAAAAGGAAGTGAAACTGAAAATAGAAAGAAGCATCATTTTACTGAGATCAACAACTTCCTAATCCCAGCTGCACGAACCTCGCGTGTAGCTATCGTTTCAACTTTTTTTGTCAGAAAGTTGACTGACGCGAACCAGATCATAACCGTTTTGTTTAAAGGTCTGTCTAAGAGCATTGCAGTACGGTGTGGATTGATGAGTGAATGAATGAGTGGGAGCGAGAGACCACTCGGAAACGATGTAGGACCGCGACTTGACAGTGATAGTTGAACATTCAAAAACGAGTTTCCCGTGTTTTTTGTGTGTCTGTGCGTACCATATCAGCATCATAATGAAAAAAGAAAACACCACCAAAAATTCAAGGATTCCCAATTCACACACACAGACAGAGAGAGAGAGTTCACTCATTCGGACTGACCTTCTCCACGCCGTTCTTCACTGCAGCGGCCGGCGAATTGCGCACAAATTGTGCAATATACGTCATGACTGAACGTTCGTCCGGTTTGTCCACGTCTAGATCTGCAACAAGGACCATTCGAGGTCATGATGAAATTCAGACACACAGGGAGAGAGCGAGAGAGAAACACCTCGCGAATGACTTATTTTTTTAAAGATCACTAAACAATCAAGCATTGAATGATCAGTATGAAACCTGTACAGTTGGTTTTATTTCACGTCACCAGCGCTGAGCGTGCATGAAAAGAAGTGTAAACCACTAACACCAACACACTTAGATCCAACCCAGAGGTCGATACGTTTTTATTCAGTTTTATTTGTGATGAAATGTGCTGAGTGATGATCGATAAAGATTGCCGAATATCCGGTTTATCCTGCTGGGGCGTGTGCTGTGGACTGTCAACTTGGGCTCCGATAACCTTAGTCCAGAGTTCTCAACACACCATGGACGATTAATAACGTGAACCGCGTTAGGCATATTGTTGTTGTTGTTGTCTGCAAGCCCAATCACGGGTACTATGCTTTGTATGTTTCTCCACTCTTTTTCCACATCTGTTGTTCATTGATTTTCCCATACACAAAACCTCACATCACACACGTGAATAGACAGGTATTTGGGATCCTGTGTCAGATGCATGGGGTTTGTGGCTCGACGACAAATTCGCCCATCTGGAAAAGAACGACTGGCTTGTGCGGNATGTCAGGGATACCAAAATTTTGGTCCCATAAAGTGAACCGATGAATGAACTTACCAACCAAGGCAGTACATATTTAGTAACTCAAAGAAAGTAACGGTCGATCAAAGGCTACCTGGAAATATACTGAAGTGAGAAAAATCAAGGATGTGATGATGTTGAAGCGATTCCGTATATACATGGTGTGATGCAGTCGCCTGTGGTATTTCTAGGGGCTCCAGATTTGTAAAGACTCTGGATACCACCGCTGTGTGCTACCAGTCAAGTCCTCTATTTTGTGTGTAAGGAGATGTCGTTAGTGCAGGTGAACTGCGGTTAAGTTGTGGCCAACAGCGATCAATAATCAGTCGTGACATATGACGACGATGATACCCCAAGGGTGTGTGTTGGATTCAATGATAAACTGATCACGGACTTTTTAAGCAAAACATGTACCGGGCGATGACGATTTTTCAAACCATGGCATAATTACACTATCTCGCTGTGTTTCTGTGCTGCATTATCATGGGTAGTACGCGCGCACTTGACCGAGTTCGCTCCCCCGAGGGGCCCGTTGATTCGCACTACTATTCAACAAACAGTTTTACTGCAAATAACCTTAACTTCTCAGATCGGTGGTTCTTATTTTTTCCTCATTCTGTATCGTATGAGAGATATCGGCATTCACCTTTAGAAAACCTTGTAAAACTTGTTTGAACTCTATTTCAGTAGCGAGCCTAGGTAAAACCTAACATGATTAGAATCGTGTGGGTTAATTGAAACGGACAGTCAACTTGTCAACTGGAAAGTAAAAGCAGCTGTGAAGAATGTGCATTACGCATTTCTTTAAATAATAATTGTTTTGTGCGATCGCGTAGAATACGAAAAAATGTAATATTACTACTAGCAAAATCAAGTAAATGGATTGGTGCATATTGATTTGGTCACGTCATTCTTGTCTCCATTGAAATCACTGTTCGTTTGATGACCCTACTAAAAACAATCAATTGATATTGTTAATATGCGTTATCTTCAACAAGTAGATTCAAATTTGTTTACTTTGTGTGTGTGTGTGTGTGTGTGTTTAAAATGATGCACGGTCATCGATAGGATGATTGGATTGTGACCGCATTTTATGAAGACTGATCGTTCATCGTTTGGATTTTGGAAATCCAGGCATATGAGTCGACCAACCCACGTACTGCACAATCCATCACTTTTGGGAAGTAGGCCAGATTAGATGAAGAAGACTAATACTCTCTCTTCCACACACACACAGACACAGACACATACCTCGGTTGGGGACTTACCCTCAGCATCCAACAGTCGGGGTATGCCCAATTTCTCCTCGGCGACTTTAAATCCATGCTCCAAATTCTCCCGATTTGTGCGTCCTTTCAGGCTGCCCAAATCGATCGAATTGGGGCGGATATGATTGATAAGCATGCACAACAAACGACCATCACGCCAACTGGTCCCAAAGTCTCGTACTTTCACACCGGATTTGCTATCACAAGTGACACAGCGGAGGCAGGGGCAGGAGCAGGGGCAGGAGGAGGACGGCCGGGGGGAGAGATTCCGATCCATTGGCGTGTGCGAACATATAGCAGAATGAATTAATTAACTTCTAAATGAACAATTCAGGAAACTAAGAGCATCACTAAAATGGCATAGGGAGAGTAGGGGAGGGGAGGGGGGGAGCGGGAAGGACAACCAGTATAACATGTTGATAGAGCATGTGGGAAGACAAAAGCAGTTTAAAGGAGCTTCATCTTCACGCCACTCTACACAGTTGAAGAAAGACCCAGACTAGAGTTTTGCTGTTGTCACAGTGACCAGGTGGTATACCGTGTTTCACTTTGAAGCTATTCGGCCCGAATTGAACTGAACGACTGACTACCTCTGAAGATAACGTGTGTACAAAATTGAATCGCCAATTCTGGTTAGTCCCGGGATGAGATCGGTGGTAAAGTGCATGTCCTCCTTCATGCGACGCCTCGTCCGGAGCTTAAATCCCTGACTTCGCAGTGAAGAAACAGTACTGTTAGCAAAACTGAAGTTTAGCGCATAATCAACTGGATAACCTGAAGATTCTGTGTAATACTGAAGTGGGAATCTACAAATAACTGTGGGTCCAAGATGAATATAAAAGAAAATAAATTCAAATCCAGTCAGCTCGTATCTTTTATTTTTGTTGTTGCCAACTGAGTTCGAACCGATTGTTTGATTGATCATGCTGGCTGTTTTCTGGCAATTCACCGAAACTTCCGTACCGTCAACTAGTTCGCCCATCCGTTTTCACAATACTTTTCAGGGATTTTCATAATACGGCACTGCACCCAACCTTTGTTCAGGCGCTATTGTTTCCACTCCATTGTGAGATGCAGTGTCTCACATGGAATCAGAACTCGAATTCCAAAACAAAACACTTATTTGAAAACGCAACAATGAAATGAAATTTAATTAACTGAATTTCGCTAATTGACTCAACGAAAAATAGGCGATTATGCAAATCAAATCTATGCACAAAATGAGAGTCAGGTAACCGTTTATCACGGACCATTGCGCAAACCGGTGACAAGTGAAGTCATAACTCACACAATCGATAAAATACACCTGTTTTTGATGATAAATTGTATTGTTTCCAATGGTTACGAAACATAAATTTCTCACTCTACTCCTTTCTTTCATCGTACCATATCGCGGGATTACAGCGAAGACCAGATGTGGACGCATAGTTCAGAGTACTGTGCATGGTGGTTCATTTCCAGAAGCTCAATCACATTATCATATCATGAAGATTAGCGAATCAACTATAGCTATTTTATGAAACGAAATCGGGTGCTACACAAAACTGGAGAAAAGAATCCACGGCTGATTCAGACCAGATGGTTAGTCTCCGAATAAGGTACAGACAACCCACACCTGGAGTAATCACCCCCACTCCCCAGCCCCATATGCACAAATTCACTGCAGTCTGGCCAACTCATAGTTGTGCGAACTGAAGCAGGGGGGGGGGAGAGAGAGAGAGCAGTTGAGTGTGACTCAGCCTTAGCATACATGAATCAGTGTGCGCGCACTCCGCTGTCTACTAAGAGGTTAGAACACATGCGCCCGTTTTGTTTGCACCTTAACGATGGAAGAAATACACACACGGAGAGAGCGAAAGTTGTTTGGAGCGCCTGACTGAATCGGTGTATATTAGGTACACCGATCAGAAGCTGGGACGAACGGGATGCACTATCATGTTAGTCGTTAACCGGACACCGATCCGGTCTGATTGGAACAGGTAGGCATCTAACGAAGAGAGGGTGCGAAGGGGCGGTAGGATATGTCTGATTACAGACACCGGTTGGTTGATTGGGTTTGGTTAAGAGTATTCAATCACGGTAAACAACATAAATTCAGTGTGGAAGGTGAATAAAGCACCTGCGCGTGCGCAAAACACAACCAGAGTGCACACGTACACAACAAGAAGGAATCAAACCAAGGGAAGAGAACATCAAGAACACCTACGCCAAATGTGGTTTGACAGAGTCTTCGACCCAAGTTAACAAAGCCTGACGACCGCCTGCCGCCGTGATTTGTGACTTGGCGTCCGCCTCGGCATTGGAAGCATCTGCCGAACTTGTTTCGGACGTGGATGAGGCAGTCTTGGAGGTGACCGTAGCTGTCACGGTTTTGCCCAGGGTACGCTGAGGCACATCGATCTGCGTGGGGTCAGGCCATATGAGAATTCGAAGTGCGAGGATGTAGAGGATACAAAAAAACATCGACTGAAAACTGATTAACCAAAGGGACGGTGTAAATCGTAATAAAATAAACGATCCATAAAAGCACCGTATGCGCTAATAATGCTCAGTGCAAAAGAAGTAGACGCTATTGTGGATGAATTGGATTGTGCGGGGGGATTTTAGACGCTATCATTGCATGGAATTGATAACACGAGAGAGTTGCTTCCAACTATTCCCTATTATTTTGAGTAAATCATGAGAACAAGTCCTATGGGCCCTTTCGAGAAGGACAGTGTGTGTGAGAGAGAGAATGATGATTGAGCTGATACTTGATTTGACAACCGAGTTGGTTTTCATCATTTACACACTTGATTTTACCGCATATACTGACTGTCTCTGTTTGAAATATCCAGCATGGACAAATCCATAGCAGAGCGCTTTGCAAAATGTATGCGTCTTGAATTGCACTCGACATTAAATTATTTTCACAATCAGTTATCTGATGTTCTTCGTTATCCCGCTGCATAGAAAAACACCTTTACATCTTCAATATTAGTACGCGTTGGTTTCGTGGGATCATCAATGGTGGGAAAATTGTCAGTCCTGACATTTCAAAGCACCCTTATAGAGGTTTAGATGTGAATGGGATCAACCTGTTTGCACGATCCCCTGATAGAGAAAACACACAATAAAGGGAGAGAAAAATCATAACATGCCTTCTACTACTGATATCGATCCACGGTTAATGATACCACACTCACAAAGATGTCAGTGTTTTTTCCTCTGAAATGGTGCAGTTTTAGCAGCATTGCCGTTGATCATTGAATGATCGAGGCCGTTCCAGTCTAGTTCGACCAGAACACTAATACCGGACCATAGAAACTCTTGATGCCTCACCGTTGTTTAAATTGTTCCTGAAAAAATCGCAATCACCAGCCTCTTTCCATTGGTATGCAAAAAAGCAACGCAGTTGTTCGAGAAAAAAATGTTTCCAAGGTACATTGCGAAACCTCTTGTCGTATTCATCACCGAGGCCGAACAATTTTCGATTATGTGAAATGCCTTGCTCCCGACTAATCGCAGTAGTTACCTCTAGTTCATAAGGACTTGGGTTTTATCTATGCCAATTTGGGATACAATCTCCGTCACGAAAGCTCCGTTCTTGTGAAAAATTATAGCTTTACTTTAACATCAACGGTTAGACATCTCTTTCCCACCCTCTCATAACTTATGGACGTTTGCGATCGCGATTATCGTGGTACGAATGTTCCACGGTAATTCTATTTACTGTGACATGACACACTGAAGTACATTTGCAATGATCACCACCAATAGTGGATGGACCGGGGGAGAAATGGACAGATACACACACACACACAAAGCTTAGCGTTCGTGGATCGCGTTCCGGTAGGTATGCAAACATCGCGAACGAGTTCGAAAAGGACACGAAAACAGTTTGGTACTCTTTGTTAGTCATAACGCACACACACACACACACATACACACACACAGAAAGAAAATTTCATCACATTCAAAGATTGCTGATTTGCAAGATAATCGAGTTTCTGTGATGGGAATACCATTCCGATTCAGTGTTCAGAGAGAGTGAGAGAGAGCATAATTCCACAGGACTGAGAAAATATTGGCCATTAGCGAAATCATTTCGGGTGTAAACAACATCAAGCGTAAATAAGACGCAGATACGTCAGTCTCATAAAGTGACAAAAAAGGAAAACCAAATTATCACCCCGGAGATGTGTATTCGAATCCCGCCACCACCGCCTGACTTCCTCCATTGTGTTGAATGACAGCCTTATGATTGGCCGATTCCCCCTTCCTGAAAATTGTATTTTTGTATATTGAATAAAAAGAAGTAAAATCAAAAAGAAAGAAAACGAGGCTCTGACGAACGGTGTCAATCCAAGTTCAACTGAACGACTGCAAATTGGCGCAACAGTCGTGCGTCAAATTTACACTCAGACCGGGTGTGATAAAANATGCATTCGGGTCGATTCCAAATGCGTTCACTTCATAGAAAGAGAGAGCACTGTCTTAGCTTGGCACACACCGTTTCGTCAAACAGACTACCATGAAATACAACAAATAGGTCGGGAAGTCAGAAGACAAACACTGCGAGGGGAGTATCTTCCGTACACTCTCAACGGTCGCGCACGTATGACATTAAACAAGATGGACTAGTATGAGATGAATTAAGAAATGTAGCTTAGTTTTTGGTGTGTGTGAGAGAGAGAGAGATTGCACACCATTTGGATACACAAGGTAGGTTTGCTGTGAACGTTCGATAATACCTTGATTATCCTTAGTTCATGTTTGTCACGATGACGTAACATAACCGATGAGAGTACAGAAAAGGAATCTTACCCACAGGGTTTGTCTTCTAGCCTCTACCTGTACAACACGACATTGGTGGCTGCATCTATTTGGTTGCGTCATGGCACTACACGTTACATTACCCTGGGGCCAGACTGGCGACCAGACTTTCCTATTAGACCTATCCTGGATAGTTCGTAGTCCGTTGCAGTCAACCGGAAAACGACTTCCTGTCTATCCTTGTTCGGATTTAAACCCTTCCTCCCCACCCCGCCACCCGCCATCCCCCTTTATCTTCTCACGAACAACCCAATCGGTACAACCGGTCTTGCCGCCTGGATAGCCCCCTAAGTGTTCATTCAATCGGTGTTACGATTTTTTCTGATGAGCAAGAAACGCTTATTGTGCTGTGCTGCGTGCATGTCCCTCTCTTCCTGTCTGCTTGTCTTGCTCGCACACACACACACACACACACACATAAGTGTAAGTGCACAGTTCAGTCAGCCTACGTGTGTGTTTGTGGTTGAGTCCCCGTCCAACGAATTTCAATACACTACAGTACAAGACGCGGTACGAAATCAACAAGACAATAGGCACTTGTTGGCCAATCAGCACAAGTGGACACCGCCCTCCGTATGTGAAAAACATTCCCAGTCTCGAACAAGACATGGAAGTCATCATTTGTGTACAGTCACACACAATGCCCACAATGCCCACAATAGCCCACACCTAAATTGCATACTTTCTGAGTCACGGTTAGCAACGTGAAACGCTTGCACGCACAGAAGAAGCCGGTTCAATGTGGATGTAAGCGAGTGAGAAATTTCACGAGATAACCCCCACGCACCAGACCAACGGAATTTACCTGGAAGTAGAGGATGATCGACCAAATAAGGCCGAGGACGATCGCTGGTTTGCCATCGACCACATCGGAAGAATTGATATTTACAAGTTTGATCTGTGCGAATGAAAACGGAAAACGGGGAGGGAATGGGTGTAGGATAGGAAATATTCTCAAGTTAAAAATGGAACAATAAAAATAGGAGAACTATGAGAGAGAGAGAGAGGAGAGCAAGCGGAAACCCCGTCGTGAAAAATCCAATACGACTATGCACAATCGTACCGGGGTTGTCAAAATTGGTGTGCTCAGGTATCCGTTTCTTTTCTCTGTCTGTGGTAATGCAAATGTATCCAAAAAGTGACATTGTTTAATTAATCCGTTCACTATCTTACCGACAATTGTACACTCAAGTCATACTCTCAACAGGTAGCGCGGCGTAGAAAGTTGGCAAGACCAAACCATTTATACACAAGTCTAAACAGAACCCACTTTAAAATGTAATAGCACCTCTGAAAAGTAGCAGTCTCTTAACATATTTCCATTTGAAATCTAATCAAATCCTCCATTACTCACATGAGATACACCCACATATCAGACAAAATGTTCTCATGGGTTGCCAGTGATATCGTCGCATACACTGGAATCATCGATTTTCACAGGGTTCATCCGTTGGTTGCTACATGCTACTTCATCAAGACGAAACAGTAAAATTGGATTGGTATGAATTCTGTCAATCGATGTGGTTTATAGCCCAGGTTTGTGATTCAGAAGGGACAAAAAGTGACCTAGCAATCAGAAGCGCAAGATTTTGTAAATGTTAACAGCGCTGTTTAGTGTTTTGATAGAACAAAAAAACGAATTTGGGGTTTTTGATTGTTTCCACATGAAAATGGTGTTACCTTAGATTACATAAATAATGCTGGGACAGAAAAGTTCCCACGGTAGCAAGTGTGATCAACAGGAAAGTGAGGAGTTCTGATATGCTACTTTAGGTGTTTCTCTTAGGAAAAAGATTTTGAATGGAGGCTAAATAGTATTTACTATTTTGTAACAAAACAATGTTTACGTTAGTGATGAAAGATGAAACAAACATATGTGATATGATAAATTACCGCTAGCGACGAGGTTGTGGGAATTGAAGTATAATAGGCACTGTATATATACTACTAATGGTTTTTTCTTACAGCTTTGTTGCTTTAAATACTTTTTTCATCTAAATACGCCTTGTTCATTTTCTCGATTCTCTTCCTTCGGTTAGTTTTAGAACCCCATTTATTGGGCCTTGGTGAATCAATTGGTCAATTAATTTTCCGTCATCTACTACTGATTACGTCTA